GTTTCAGCCTTTCCAGGAAGGACCTGTTTGTTCTCTTTGCAGTCCATGGCATGTTCAATACTCTTCTCAAACACCACAACTCAAAGGTACCGGTTCTACTTCTGTCAATCTTAGTCATTGCCCAGTTGTCTGATGCATTGCTGGTAATTGTGAAGACAATGGCCTGGATCAGGTGTACCTTAATCCCTAGACTGACAACATTAGCTCTTTGAAGAGGTCCCTGACCGCAGACTTGCCCAAAGCAATTTGCCTTTTGATTTCCTTACTGCTGATATCGAGAGTGTTGATTGCGGAGTCAAGCAAGCTGAAATTATTATCAACCTTAATCTCTTCTCTATCAATCATGGTGCTGCCAACTGGCCTAGTGGTGTTAATCTTTGTCTACATGATGTTGAGCTTCAATCCATATTAAATCTAAGACTACAGTCCTTGGCCTTCTTCAGCAAATGCTTCATGTCCTCCTCAGTTTCATCAAGCAAGGTTGTATCATCAGCATATTGCAGGTTATTGATGAGTCTTCCCCCAAATCTGATGCTACATTCCTCCTCATAAAGTCCAGCTTCCTGAATGATCTGGTCTGCATAGAGATTGAAAAGGTATGGAGACAGAATGCATCCCTGACACATTCCTTTACTGATTTTGAACCATTTACTCTTTCCTTGCTCTCTTCTGACCATTGTCACCTGGTTCAAATACAGGTTTCGCATAAGCACAATCAAGTGTTCTGAGGTTTCCATTCCTCTCAAAGTTAGTCACAGTTTGTTGTGATCCATACAGTCAAAGGCCTTTGCATAGTCAATGAAACACAGATAGACATTCCTCTGCTACTCTTTGCTTCCTGCCAACATCCATCTGATATTGGCTCTAGTGCCACAACTTCTTCTAAACCCAGCTTGTTTGTCTTGTAGTTCTCCATTTATGTATTATTCTAGTTGTTTTTTAATAACCTTCAGCAGGATTTTGCTTGTGTGTGATATTAGTGATATTGTTTGCTAATTTCCACACTCTGCCAGGTCACATTTTTTTGGGGAATGGGAATAAATATAAATCTCTTACAGTCAGTTGGCCACATTGTTGGCCAACTAGATTTCTTGGCACAACCTGGTGAGCATGTCCAGGGTAGCATGTCCAATGTCAACTGCTACTCCATCAATTCTGGGGCCTTACTTTTTACCATTTCCTTCAGAGGAGCTTATGATAATTAAGACATAGTTTAATATAATTAAGACATTGTAAATGTCAACCTTTGCTGTGATCTTTGTGAATGATGCACAAACTATGGCACAAAAGGCCAGAAAAACACAGTTCTTGTCAGACTCATATAATCATAAATTAAAGCAATGATTCATAAAACATTTTTGTAACTTTTCATACTTGAGATAAAGTCATTATACTTTAATAACTTTTTTGTTTTATTAGAAACTTTTTAAAGAGATATTTATTTTCTTTTATAGATTGCTGCTGTTGGTGTTACGTGGCATCCAGTTAAGACCAACTCATAGTGATCCTATGAACCAAAGATCTGAATCCTATTCTATTCTGAGCCATCCTCATACTTCCTGACACACAAAAGCCTACTGCAGCAGTCACTGTATCAATCCACCTTGTCGAGGGTCTTCTTCTCCTTTGCAAACTCTTCACCTTTCCTAGCATAATGTCCTTCTTCATAGACAGTCTATGGTTCAAGTACATTCATAAAATACATACTCTGTGCAATTAGGCACAACTCTAATAAGTGTCATAGGTGGCACCTGAGAGAATCTTAACTAATGTTTTGAGAAAATTTTCTCAACAGCAATATTGTTATTATTGTTATATGCTGCAGCATTGGAACTAACTCCTAGCTGACTCTCCAATGCGTTTTTAGAGGCAGTGAACCATTTGGGAGGAGACTGCCTATTTTTTTCCCCAAAGAGCAGGAAGTAAATTTGAACCATGTGACTTTGGGTTGCTAGCACAACTTCTTATCAGTAGGTCACTAGAGCTCCTTGGACAGCAGTATGATAACATACATACTTGAACAATCTTTATGATAAAAGAAGAATCAAAATGTTTGATGAATTGCACTTACACATGTACACACACACACATACAGAAGAAAGGGAAACTGAGCTGCTCCTTTGTTCGTATGAATCCTGGGAGAGGTTTATAGTGACCCTCTGTACAACAGAAGGAGCTCTGATGGTTCAGGGATAAGGAATTGCACTGCCAGTGCAAAGGCAGGCAGTTCAAATCCCCTACCTGCTCTGAAGGGAAAAGATGGTCAATCTGCTCCCATGTGATTTACCCAGAAGAGCATTTGAAAACATTTGGAGTGTCAGCTATGAATAGGTTCTGACTCAATGACACGTAACAACAGCAGGTACAATAAAGTAAAACCGTGTCCTATCCTGTGGTTGCAATCACTGTTAATCCATCTTACTAAGTTTTACTCTCCTTTTTCTGACTCTCTATTCTTCCAAGCAATATACCCTTATCCAACTAGTCTTTCTTGATAACATGTCAAATTATAAGATGAAGTTTCACCATTCTTGTTTCTAGTTTCACTTTCTCCAGAACAGATTTTTGTTCTTTTGATACTCCATGGTAACAAGTAATATTCTTTGCCAACGCTACAATTTAAAGATATAAAATCTTCTTTATTCAACTTTCACATGTACATGAGGTGAAGGAAAATACTATAGATTCAGATGGGAGCACTTTTGTCCTCAAAGTAATACCCTTGTTCTTTAGCTCTTTAAAGACGTTTATGACAGCACATTTGCCCAGTGGAATATGTTGTTTGATTTCTCCATACTGTTTCATGGATCAAAGTAAAACAAAATTGTTGACAAATTCAATCTTTTCTTCATTCATTATGATGTTGCCAATTGATGCAATCATGAGAATTTTTGTTTCATGTTAAGTGAAATCCAAACTGAAGGCTCTATCTACTCTTCGATCTTCTTCAATAAATGTTTCTAGTCCTATTCTACAAGTGTGCACTGTCTATATCACGTAAGTTGTTTATGAGTCTTCCTCTTATCCGGATTGCATATTATTTTTATATATCCATGTGTGTTGTCATACATTCACTGTTGAAAATTGCTTTCCTACTTACTAACTTTGACTTTTACCACATGACCTAAGCAATGAGGGTAAAGGCTACAGGGTCTGTGAGTGGATTGAGAAATTGCCCTGACTGAAGAATTATATTTGCTGCCAACCTGAACTGTAGCCTTTTGAGATCTGTGTGGCCATTGCAATGGATTTCAGACTCAGCAGAGTAGTGCAATTGGTGTTAGAATTAGCAGGAGTAGGTATCAGAGTGTGGATGCCATGTCTGACCTTCTGGGAATTGGTTTGTTACTGTGGATGCTACTCATGGAGGCAGTGCAGACTAGGGGAGTTAAAAGAGATTTGGATTAGCTCTTCTTATGCTGTTATACTCTTTGTGTGTTGAGTTTCATGGATTATTTTTCTCAGCAAGCAGATTAATTAGGTATGTTTAAGTAATATAACCCTGTTACACACCTTTCCTGATTTAAACCATGCAGTATCCCCTTATTCTGGTCAAACGACTACTTCTTAGTTTATGGACAGATTCCATATAAGTACAATTAAGTATTCTAGGATTCCCATTCTTCTCAGACTTAGCAATTAATTTATTATGATGCACATAGTTGAATGTACTCATAGAGCCAATAAAGCACAAGAAAACATCTTTCTTATATTCTCTACTTTTAGCAAAGATCCACATGAGATCAGCAATGATATCGCTTGTTCCATAACCTCTTCTGAATCCAGGCTGCATTTTAGCAGTCTCCTAGTCATGTACTACCCCAGGCATTTTTTTAATTGTTAATTTTAATAAAACTTTATATATACATTCAGCAAATATAATATTGTTTTATAATTTCCACATTCTGCTGGATCACTGATTTTTTAAATTGGCAAAAGTTTTGCAAATTTCAAAAATATAGATCTCTTCCATTTGTTTGGCCATGTACCTATCTTCCAAGTTTCATGACATAGATGAGTGAGTGCACCAGGGCGGCTCCCCCTCACCGCTAAACATTCTAACATTCCGAGAGTCCTTAGACACCTGAACTCTGATTACATAATGGCTTGGTGATATTCACAAATGGTTCATTTGTCAACAAGTTACCTGCACTGCTGTTCAGTTTAGTGATGGATGAAGAGATAATGACTTATAGCAGGCTACCAGAGATAATTTGGTGCCTGAAGGTTTTGTGGACCAAAATGGCATAATACCACTCTGGTTGAGGGATTTTACTTGGGAAATCACCCCCTCTCGATTCTTCCCATATGTATGTGGTACAGATTAAACAAGGCAGTTGTATGGTAATATAAAAATTATTAAAAACATTCTTCTTGAGGTTTGACAATGAAGCAGTAGATATGTATCTACTACATACTTGTTAGTCAAGAGTATGTTTCAAATAATCAATTGGTATTCGTTTAAAACACAATAATGGTCTTATTAAAATTAAACTTAATACATGCAGTATTTGGAAGTAATTTCTTTACCACCACATAGAAACCTTACCAGCTGTCCTTTTTTGTTGCATTGTTGACATTCAGTGGCAAATTAGAAGACTCTCCAATGAAAATTGCCTAAGGCTACACATATGTGCTTATTTTCAAGCAAAATTCAATATCAATGACTTTCTTACTATAGCTGTAATTGTCACAAATAGATGAGCAAATAATAAGTAGAAACCAATTTATCTTAAATTAGATGAATGGTAGGATAGGCATCACGTAATTTGGAAATATGAAGGATAGTATCCTTCATAAGCACATATAAGTGAATAAACAGTTCTTGATTGCAATACTTTGTCAGTTACCATAAAAAACAAAGAACTTTTTGTTTACCTTTCAAGTAATTTACCTCTAGACATTTATACCATTCAGATGCTTATTTTATGGAAGTGTTTATAACTAGTGTCATTAAAAGGAACAGATAATAAAGCTAACATTGAGTAGAAAATAATTACCTGAGTTGGAACACAGAGAAAATATTCCATCTTCATTTCCACTAAAAATCAAATATTTAATGATGTCCCCATTTGTGTCAAGAGTAAAAGCTTTCACAGAAACAATAGAAGTACCTGTAAAAAAGTTATTAAAAAGAACTCCTTTAGAAAAGGAATTTTAGTGAAAACTAAGAGCAAACAATTGAGTATGTATTATTGGGCTATTATCTTTCACTTAACAACATAGAGAGAAACCAGTTGGCCTCATGGACCAAAAGTGATGCTACCAAGCCAAAGGTGGGTGGCTCTAATCCATGGCCCTAAGGCCTGTCTTTAATTGTTTTTGGTGAAACATTCTTTTAGGTTGTATACCCTGGTGTGTCCACTTGCCGTACAGAGGTAACTTACTGATGTGTCTAATGCGATAATGGTTACCCATGGTGGACAGTGCTTGGTGGCGCTCCCTGATTAAAACAAGCTTGGAATCAGGAGTGGCATCCACTCCCACAAATAGCTTGCCTCCAGAAACGCTATGAACCTGGAGTAAGGATGAAAGTCACACAAGTGTTGAGGACTTTAGTTCATAGGGTCGCTATGAGTCACCTGCAACTCGACTGCACTTAACAACAACAACATCTTTCACTTGTTCATTCACTTATTCAACGATTACTTACTGAGTATCTTTAATAAGTCAGCTCCTATCCTAGGTGTTAGAACTTAGTGGCAAACAAGATAAAAAAATCACCCCGGTAGAGAAGGATGAACATGCAATTTATTGTCTCTGAAAATCCCTAGAGGGTCAACCATGGGTCTGTTATGACTCGACAGCGAACAACAACAACAACAACAACATCATCTTTGTGGTATTACAGCAAGACATTAAACACAATTAAGCAATGCAGGTGTCATATTATGTTAAGTACTCTGGAAAGAAATGAACAAAAAAATAGGACAAACAAAAAGCTAAAGCAGAAAATAAAACTGACTGCCATTTAGTCCATTCTAACTCAGAATGACCCTATGCACACTCACTGAGTCAGAACAGACTCAAAACTGACCTTCCAGAGGGTTTTCAGAGGCAGTCAGGTGTCAGAACCCCTGGAAATTGGCTTTTCTAGCTTTTGTGTTAGTCCCTTCTAAGGAGGGTGGTGAAGGGAGCCTAGTCTCCAACTACCGTAACTGCAGACACATGGTTTTACAAATCATAAGCAGCTGTGGGACCAATTTAAAGAGAGCACTTTCCACACGATGTAATCCTGGCAACAACAGTGATGGAGGGAGGATGAGGAGACTGTGGTACTGCTGTAATGAGACTGTGGTAAGCTGTAACTAGAGAAGTCTTGAAAATGTAAGCATAATTAAAGATTTTCCTTGCTGAACTGAAACCTGGAAAAGTTGACTTGTAAGTGCTCTGAGATGAGGTTTGCTCGATGATTGAAGAAACTTGAGGCTTCTTGCATTTGTGCTGCTGAACTGAAACCTGGACTTTAATTAATTGTGAAATTGTGTCTTGCTGTTAATCTAGCTTGAGACTGTTGTACCAAACCTGGACTTATAATGATGGTATTCCTTGCCTCTTCAACTTTCCAACTGATTTTCCTAGTAAACCCCACAAATATAGGTAAATTCTATGAGTCTTGCAATGAACATTCATATCCAATGATTGGTAGAAATAGGTGCAGGAGCATGGCGGGTTGCCATGTCTGACTCTGTAACTATTTGTATGGTACTGTGGACTTTGTTGATGGGGACAGTTCCCCTCTATGAAGTGGACACATCATATTTGACCACCCTCACAATGCATCTGCTCTTTTTGCGAGCAATAAGTCACACAAGGGGAGGCTGCCAATCCTTCTTCTGAGGAGTCACCAGTGGACCCGACAGGGAAGGTGTCAAACTAGTTTCCAAGGCTATCTTGATGGAAGAAGACAATGGCACTTCTTTTTTCTCATCCCAAGCATCTATTGTTGTTATGTGCCGAGTTACCTGTGACTCATAGCCACCCTATGTACAGCAGCTCTAAAGTCTGCCATGTCGTGAGCCTGTCTCACTGATGCTGACACACCTACCTCCATCGGCCCAGAATCAATTCATCTCATCCAGGGTTTTCCTCTCCTGTATTGTCTCTCCACCCTTCCAAGCATGATGTCCTTCTCAGTGTTTATCATTCTCTTAGTCTTCTTAATATATTGCCTTTCCTCTCACTCATCTAAATAAAACTTCAATGTTCTTTTTTAATTTTTTACTGTCTCCCATTTTTTTCATCCTGAGTAACCATTCAAGAATGCCTATGAGACAGTGTATATTAATGAAATACAATGTGAATTAATTACTGTATGAAAACAAATAGAAAAAGAATGATTATATGTGCGTATAAACTTTTCTTTAGCTTTTTAGAATAGTGGCTTCATACAGCATTTGCCGTTTTCTGGCTGAATTATTTCACTCCCTATAATGTTGTCTAGGTTCATCCATGTTACTCAGTGTTTCATGCAGAAGAGGATTCTAGAAGGAAAAACAATAACAACAAAGTCCTCATGATGAGAAGGGGCTTGTTTTATTGAAAAACAATGAATGAAAGTGGTAGAAATTGAAAATTCTATGGCAGAACACTAAGTCACAGGATAACAGTATTGGAGCCGAAGCTCAAGGGCAAGAACCTTTCCCCGTAAGTGCCTCAGACAAAAATCTTTCCCAAAAGATGGTACATGGGATCTGAACTTAAATCTTCCTACACATGAGACAGGCATCCGCATGAGAGACCAGCAGTAGTGCAAGGTGCAAGACATCACAGAAGTGACTTGTCGCCAATGCCAAAATATCAAGAGTTGGCTGAGGGGAGGGCAGAGCTGGAAGGGGTAGGCAGGTGTGCAAGGGATGATAATGTAGCAGGGAAAGAAAAGGAACAAGACAAATGCATCGGGGTCAGGGGCAAGGAGAAGTGTGTAACACTGAATGCACTGGTTAGTCTATAAGGGGAAGTGCCTTTCATCTGCTCCTTTAGTAAAATGTCTGTTAGATAGTGTTCTAAAGATAAGCATCCAAAATAAGACAGACTAGGAAGAAGGATTGGCCATCCACTTCTGAAATACAACAGGCCCTTGAAAACCCTATGTAAAATAGAGCACATTAAGAATAAGCTAACTGAGACGGAAACTGAGGCTGAGCCCCTAAATTTGGAACCACCAAGAAGGAACATTTGTAAGCAGACACTAATGACTAGAACGTGGAGTGTGAGAAGCATGAATGTAGGAAAACTAAACATCACAAAAAAATAAATTGAAGGCATAAATATTGACAGATGTTAGTGAAATGAGATGGATTAGCATGGGGCATTCTGAATGATATGTCATTTGATCTACTTAGCTGGAGATGAAAAGGTGAGGAAAAAATGAGGTCACTTTCATAATTATAAAGGCTGTTTCTAGATCCATATTTAAACACAATGTTGTAAGCAACAGGATAATATAACATGCATACAAGGAAATCCTGTGAATACTACTATCATTAAAATATATGCACCAACAATCAGAGTCAAAGAGGAGGAAAGATATAATTTCAACCAACTTTGCAGTCAGAAGCCAATCAAACATGCAACCAAAAATGCATTAATAATAAAGGGTGACTAGATTGCAAAAATTGAGAGTCAGGAAAAAGGATCAATAGCCAGAAAACATGGACTTGGTGACAGAAATGAGGCTGGGGATAGAATGATAGAATCATGCATATCAATTCATTTTATTTATTGCAAATACCTTTTATAAGAAATATAAACACAAGCTATACACATGGATGTCACCTGATGGTATGCACAGGAATCAGAATGATTATATTTATGGAAAGAATTGCTGTAGAAGTTCAATATCAGCAGTGAAAACTAGGCCAGGTGCTGACTGTAAACAGACCATAAACTACTCCTATAAAAGTCCAAATTAAGGCTAAAGAAGGTCAAATGAAATCCACAGGAATCAAACTTGATCTTGAGTCTATCCCACCAGAATTAAAAATCAACTCAGGAATAGGTTTGAATCCTTGAACACTAATAAAGGGAGACCAGATGAGCTTTGGGAGGATATAAAAAATATGATCCACAAATAATGCAAAAGGTCATTACAAAACAGAGAAAGAAGAGCAAAATGGATGTGAGAAGAGACTCTAAATATTGTACTAGAGCACCAAGAAACCAAAGCATAGGGAAGAAATCAGGAAATTTGGAAGTTAACAGAAGATGTCAAAGGGCAGCATGAGAAAACAGAGTATTATAATGAAATGTGCAAAGAACTGGAGTTAGAACATCAAAAGAACTGAATTTGTTCAGCATTTCTTAAACTGAAGAAACTGAAGAACAAATTCAAGCCTCAAGTTGCAATAATTATGGATGCTTTGGGCAGAATATTAAATGATCCAGGAAGCACTGAAAGAAGATGGAAGGAGTATAGAGAGTTACCTTACCAAAATGAATTGGATGACAGAGAAGAATTTCAAGAAACAATGTATGACCAAGACTGCGTGGTGATGATGGTAGAAGTTCAAGCTGCTCTGAAGAAACTGGCAAAAAACAAGGCCTCAGGAATTGACAGCATACCTATTTGACATATTTCAATGAGAAGACTCTGTCTGCCCTGATGCATTACCAAGTTGTGCTAGGAAGTCTAGAGGACAACTACCAGGTCAACTGACTGGAAGAGATCCAAAGTTCATCAGGCATACATCCTGTCACCTTATTTTTTCAACCTATATACAAAATGTTTACATTAGAGCGCCGAGAAGCCAAAGCTAAAGGAAGAAAGCAAGAAATCAAAGAGCTAAACAGCAAATTTCAAAAGGCAACCCAGGACAACAAAGCAAGATACTATAATGAAATGTGCAGAGAGCTGGAGTCAGAAAATCAAAAGGGCCGAACTCGTTCAGTGTTTCTTAACCTGAAGGAGCTGAAAAACAAATTTAAGCCATGGGTGGCAATACTTAAGGATACTTTGGGTAGAATGTTAAATGATCCAGGAAGTATCAAGAGAAGATGGAGGAAATACAGAGTCACTGTATCAGAAGGAATTGGCTGACACAGAAGAATTTCATGAAATGACATATGAGCAAAAATCTATGATGATGAAGGAGGAAGTTCAAATTGCTCTAAA